GATGCACCTTATTACTAGCTGTGCTCCTGAAGAGGTAACAGTGAGGCTGCCTTTTCTGTTACTGTTACATGGATTAAGAGGGGTGCTGTTTAAACGACTCCTGTAGTGACTGTTGTACAGCCAAGAGCCAGCCCTAAGAGACTATGTGTGAGAATCTGAGAGCAGTAATAGCAGAGCATGCCCAGGGGTGGCAGCAGACCTGTGTGTGGGCCAGCAAGAATAACTGAGAGTGGAGCTAGGGGGAGCCCCACTCAAGGATGCCCTTGAGCTTGTGCACCAGAGCCCAGGGAGTGGGCAGTGGCCCTGGGAAATCAGTATTTGCCAGGTGTCTGAGCTGGACTTAGGTAAAGACAGAGTAGCTCTAGTCACAGCACTGGCCATGCATGTACACATCACACACACACACACATGCACGCACACGCATGCACACCGGCACACTTGCTGTGCTCCCCCAACACAAGTTCACCCCCCCCCACTTCCCCTTCTAGTATCCAGCATGGGACCCACCATGAGAGGCCGTGCTCAGGGTGAGCTGTCTAGGAGGGGCCCCCCTATTCCAAAGGCAGGCCTGGCTTACTCATCCTCAGATCTTCCTATTGCCTTTCCTTCACTGGCTCCTCCAAGAATGTTTATTCAATTCATACAACAGGCGTGTGGGGCCCTACTATGGAAAGGCACCTAAGGTACCTACCTGGAAAGGTACCTAAGTTGAAGAAAGAAAGAGAGGGAGGCCAGGAGGAAGAGAAGGAAAGAGAAGCAATGTGTGTGGAGAGGAAAGAAAGGAGGGAGGCAGAAAGGAACGGGAAGAAGCAATGCAACTATAGCAGGGTCTTCATTACAGTATGTATCTTGTATGTGTGAGTGTGTGTGTGTGTGTGCGTGCATGCACACATGTGCAGCCACAATCATGCATACTGGCCTGTGCATGTGAGATCCTGCTGGAGATGAAGTGCCCCCAGCATGCACCCCAGGGCAAGAGCATTGTTACACAGAGAAGAGCATTCTCTGACCATCTAACTTTCAGTCTAAATAAACATACTTGATCATGCAGCAGAAGAAACATGGGTAGGACTATGGAGCATCGCAGCTGAGAGGCACCATTCACTTGCTCCCCCTTCACGCAGGAGGCAGCCCAAGAGCACAGAAACCAAAAGCACAGGCTGCCTGGGTTCTAATACCAGCACCACCACTTACTAGCTGTGTGACCTTAGGAGAGTGACCTAACCTCTCTGAGCATCAGTTTAGTCTTAGTAAGATGGAGTGATGAAAATAATAGAGCCTACCTTAGGGAACAATTCTAAGAATGAAATAAGATAATACAAGTACAGAGCTTAAAAAAGCACCTGGCAGATAGCACTCAATGCATCATGACTGTTCCATTTCTGAGGTCTGAGGAAAGGGGAGTGGCAAGATCAGGGGCCTAGCCAGGGGTGTGGACTCCTAGCCAGGTGCTGATTCATATTTGAGAATCTAAGGCACCCCTTCCAGCCTGAAGACTTAAATGCTCTTTGTCTGCTTACCGGCTCACTCTGCAACTTTCCCTCTCCTCCACGCAGGGCCTGGCCCTCTTCCTCCATGATTCCCTTGAAGCCAGGATCCAGGCTCCTGGCCTTCCTGCAGCTCACCTCCCCACCCATCTCCCACAAGGCCAGCTCCCTTTCCCTCTGCTGCGGCCACATTTACCCAGCTGGCCTGCTCTGGCCAGAGACCCAGAGCTCAGCCCTCATAGTCTGCCTCCTCCCAGCCTCCCCAAGCACCCTTCCCCGCCCAGCATATGGACAGCAGGGTTGGGAAGGATGCGGGGGGAAGAGACCCTGGGCAGGTGCCAGGGAACACCAGGTGCACAGACCTCTCCATGCCCTCCCAGGCATAAGTGCGGCTGCCTCAGCCCACCCATCACGCACAGCTCTGCCACCCCACCTTCTTGATCCCAGGCTCTGGTATTGTCCTTCTATCTTATCCACCCTCATTTTCCTGTCCCTCTTATCCACAAAATATCCATGAGCACCTTCTCTGCGCTAGTTAGGCCCTGAGGATTCACACAGAAGCCAGTGGCTGGGGCCTGCCCTCCAGGGGCGGCAGTGGGGTTTGACATCATCCATGCCAGTACTTCTCAAATCCCCTAGAGGGCTGGTTAGAACACTGATCCCCATCCCCAGAGTCTCTGATTTAGCAGGTCCAGGGTGAGGCCTGAGCTTTTGCCATGCTAATCTCTCAGAGTCTCTGGTGCGGCTGGGTGAGGGCTCATGTTTTGAGAAGGCTTGGTCCGCTACAGACTGTAATTCAAGGCAGACTACAGCAAGGGCTTTGATCAAGAGAGGAGAGAAAATTAGGGAAAGGGCATACCCGGGAGAGGAAACGGTATAAACAAAGGCCTGGCAACTCCAGGAAGCAGCAGAGGGAAAGGTGCATGGGGAGGCGTGGCGGGAAGGAGGCTGCAAGGCTTGTGGGGCAGGGCAGTGAAGGGGCCAGGGAGTGGCCACGCCCCTTCCTTCTTGCTCACCGAACAGTTCCTGTGCCAGGTGCCCCTGGCAGCTCTGCCAGGCCCCGTGGGCTGCGGCCCAAGCCCATGTTCCCCCTCTGCATAGCCAGGGCACCCCTGCCCCAGGCCTGGCTTTCACAGCTGCTCTGGGCGGCTGTTGGTGCCTCTACCCGGCCTCCTGGGCGGCTCCCTAGAGCTGCAGGAGCCAGCCCAGAGGTGCCAAGGAGGTGTGCCAGGTGAGGCAGTGTGTGCACTGTGGGCGTGGGTGGCTGGGGATGTGCCCGCCGTGCCCCAGCCCCGTCTGTCCGCTCGCTCTATCAGCCCAGCATCTGGGCCTGGGTGTGTGTGTGTTGCCACTGGAGCCAGAGCCGTTACTCTGGGTAGATAATAATAGCAATCGTAATCCCTCATAATTGGACCAGACTTTGCTATTTGCAGGGCACGTCCATGCCCATGACCTCATCTGACTTCCACAACCACCCTGTCAAACAAGCACAGCTAGAGTTACTATCCCCATTTTACAGCTGAGCAAACATAAGCCCAGATGGCCTGAAGTCACACCTCCTCTAAGTGGCATACTTAAGCCTGGGACCTGGGACTTCTAACTCTGTCTAGTGCTTTCTCTATCCTGAGCTGTCATAGGAGACAGGCTGACCTCCTGCTTTTCATGGAGGGAGCCAGGGGCTCTGCTGCCCAGGGCAGCTCAGTCCAGTAAGAGGGGGAGTTTGGCCCAACTGTCTCCACCATTTCCACCTGTGAGGGCAGCTGACTGCCAAGTGCAAACGCCTGGATGTGGAGCTATGTCGGCACCAGTCAGGAGACTGGAGCAGGGGAGGGGGCTCAGGGTCACCTAATTCAACAGAGGAGCAAAGCCAGGCCCAGGGCGGAAGGAACCAGCCACAGCCACAGCTGCCACTCGAGAGCACAGGTGGCCAGTGGCCCCGACTATGGCAGCTGGGTCTGGGTCCACTGCGGCCTGAGTCCTGGGTGGGAGTAGCCCAAAAAGCCCATGGGATAGCTTAGACTGCATGTTCTTTATCCGTGGGGTCAGAAAGAAGAGGACTGACCAGTAGCCCCTAGGAGTCCTGTCCAGTGGGCCACAGAATGTGCTCTCCCACCAGTTTGCTGACCCCTCTTTCTCTTCTCCCCCCACAGTGCCCCACATGATATTCTGCAGGAGTCTAGGCTTGGTGTGTGTGTGTCCGTCCATCCATCCATCCCAGGATCCACACAGATGGGGCAGTGGGAAAGGTTCCGACGCAGGACGCAGGAAACCAGGCTCTCACCTGGACCCACCTGGACCATCCGTCCTTGCCCCACTTGTTTCATGGGTTGTCCCCAGGGACCAAATGGATGGAAACCACCCAGAAAACAGAAACACGCTCCAAGAATGAGCAAGCCAGGGAAGGAGCTAGGCACACGCAGGCAAGGGTGAGCAGGGAGCAGGTCTCAGAGCTGACGCTCAGGGGCCCCACACTGGGTGCCAGGTGTCCACCTGGCTCCAAAAAGACAAACTGCACACGAGCACATCCTGCTACTCCCACACACCCCAAGCATCTCCACCTCTCTCTCCTGCTCAGGCGAAGAGGAGCAGGCAAGAGGAACTGTGGGGATCAGGGCATGGTAGATAGGACACCCCGGAAGGCCTGTGGCCCACACAGCTTTCCTAGAAGGGTGGCACTGGGGTATACCATTCCACTGACGGGGTGGGGGACACAGAGTCAAAGCTGCCGGGGGTTGCAGGTGGCTTTGCCTGTAGGTGGACACGGCTGGGTGAGGTCTCAAAGAAGCCTGTTGGGGCCCAGCAGGGATTCCCAGCAGTCTGCTGTGATCTCCTCTAACTGATTAGGTCCATCCTGGAGTTTAGCAGAAGGGTGAAGAAGTCACCCCTCATGGGGCTCTGAAAACAAGGGCACTAGTTCCATGATCAGGAGTGACACTCGGAGTCGGAGGTGGGTGGGGCAGGAAATCACCATCTCCATGATGACTGGGGTGGCTCCAGGCACACAGCACCCCACGTGTGCCTGACTGTAGGAGGGGGAGCCCTCACTCAGCCCCACAGATACCAAGCCTCCTTGAGTTTGTCTTTGGCCTCCCAGGAGCTGCTGAACACCCTGGAAAAACAGACACAGCTAAACCAGTTAAAGAGGCTCCCCTGAGGACACATAGCTAATAAGAGGCCAATCTAGAAAAGTATCCAGATTTGGGGACTCTCTGCAAGGCTGACCCTTAACACTGCACTGACCTGGGTTTAAACCCTGCTTAAACCACGGGGGTTACAAGTCTGGGCTCCAGAGCCTTACCCCCTGGTCGAGTTCCCACTCTACCACCAGGATGTAACCTCTCCAAGCCTGTGTCCGCATCTCCAAAACAGCGTTCAACCCTCCTACCCCCGTGTGAAGACTGCGCTGCTACAGTCCAGCGCTCAGCACTCCTGGGCTGTTATTCCTTGGGCTGGGCACCCCCTACCCACCCCCGGGCTCTGACCATAGGGACCCCAGCAGGGCCAGCTGCTCACCTTGCGGTCCTCCTCCCGCTCCAGAGCGGAGCTGCTGGTGTCCCCGGGGCCGCTGGAGGGCATTGCGGGCAGCTGGGCCGTGGGAGGCAGGCTGGAGCTGCGCGGGGCTGCGGGGCTGCTTGGCTTTGGGGAAGGAATTATCGTGGTCTTTGTAAGCAAGAGTTAAAACTTAGACATAGATCCGGATGTTGAGTGGAACTCTGGTGAAACTCTGCCTTGGGCTGCCTGTGGGTTTGGGCTTCCAGTGGCTCCACCTGTTGGGGAAGAGAAGAGGGGTCAGCAGGGCAGAGCACCCCAGCCCAGGCCGCCTGTCTCCCACCATTCCCCGGGGCTAGGCCTCAGCCCCAGGGCCACACTGCCTGTGAGGCCTGCTCCTCCGATCCCCTCCCCTTTCCAGCCTCACCAGCGGCTCAGCCAGCCTCGCACCCTGGAGAGTGGGGGAAACCAAGGCAGACGCAGCTGGCAGGGCTCTGCCTGGCTTCCCTCAGGGCCACCTGCTGCCTCCCAGGTGTGGTGGCCACAGGCGAGGCAGCAACAGTCTCGGGGCCTCTGCGTTGCCGTGCACACCACTGCTGGGACTTCAGCTGCCTCCCGCCTCCTCCCTTCTCTTCATTCAAGTCTGTTCTTTCCTTTGAAAGCTTCCCGCACCCTCCCTCCCACCCAACCACCCCCTGGGAAATCCCAGAGGTCCCCAGCCCAGCTACATTTTCCTTCTAATCTGCCCTCCCCGCACGCCCCCACCCCCACACCGCTCCCACCACGTGGAGGAAGTGAGCCGCTCACAGGATGTAGTGAAATGAACGTCACCTCACTTTGGGACGGGCGCCTGGGCCGGGGAAAGCTGGGGCTGAGCTCAGGCTGCAGCCAGGCTGACGCCTAGGTCTGCGGGGCTACCAAGAAGACGCCCTGGAGGGGAGAAGCCCCAGTCGTGGCCATGCTGTTCAGCACGAAGGCCGCCTGACAACCCCGCCCCCGCCCTGGGAACCTGCCCCATTGCCTTCGGAAGTTGGGGGGCTTGAGGGCCCTTCTGAACCCACACAACTGAATTTTAGGGGCTTTTCACCCTCCCTGCTTCAGGTGTGGGCCTCAAGCCAATGAAGTGACAAAGCCCTAGCTGCAGGCCTCAGCTGGGGGTGACAGTGTGGGGCTTCAACCCCCTTCACTCAAAGACACTGAGCTCTCCTGCTCCCCACCCCCAGCAGGAGACACAGGCCCAGCCCCGGCCTTCAGTGCGCAGGCTGGGCTGGGGAGGGGATTGGCAGGAGGAGGAAAGTGGGAGGCAGGCTGGATCTGGGCCCACCCACACCCTTCCCCTCCAGTTCCTGGTTCTGCTTCCCCGGGCTCCCCCCTCCTTCTTGGGCTTCTTCTCCCATCCCCCTCCAGCCAGGGCTCCCTGGAAAACCAGGAACAGGAGAAAGCACAGGCTTGGGTCTCCCACCGTGGGCACAGCCCCTTCCCCAGGGGTGGGTGCCTGGTTGGGAAGTGGGTGCCCCACTCCTGGCTCTGTCCCAGTGTGGAGGGGAAAGCTGGAGCTGGGAGGAGGCAGCCGGGGCCCATACGCTAAAACTCAGACAAGCTGGAGGTGCCCCATGTCCCACAGGTGAGCCCTGAGGAAACCCCAGGCATAATGTACACTTCTAAGCTTAGCGTAGTGCGGGTGCCCAGTAAAAGTTTGCTGCCCAGCTGCACAAGCGAGTAGGTGACAATAGTGAGAGCAGCTGCGAGCGTCAGACACTGTGCTAAGCCTTCGTCCTTTGGGCGGCTCCTAGGACTATCACTATTCCTGGTTTACAGTTGAATCTAAGTCTCTAAGGTTAGGATCTGTCCATGTGCCAGTGTCAAAACAGAGGCCTGAATCCAGATCTTTCTGACTCTAAAGCTCTGAGGGTGTCTCTATGAAGCTCCATCCCCGATTCATACCACCCTAGAGAAACAACTCTTGAGAGTCCATTGAGAACTGGCCCAACAGGACTCCACAAGGCTTCAGTCCATTATCAGCCCACAATTCCCCTCAAACCCACTCTCTGTTTGTTAGCACAAACATGTCCAATCAACCCCACACCAAATCTTTCAAAGGATGCAGAAGCTAAGAAAGGCAGAGTCTGGTTGGAAAGAACATTGACCCTGGAGTTGGCAGATGTGGGTTCTAGTTCTTCCTTGGGATTCTCTGGTCCCCCCGTTTCCTCATCCATAAAATGGGAGAACTGGACTAAATGATCTACAGACATCTCCTAGCTCTGCCCTGCCAAGCTGCTGGGGGCCCCAAGGGCAAAGGGGAAGAGAGGACAAGGCTGAGGTGCCTTCAGGAGCTCCAGAGACCCAGAGTGAAGTCCATGGAGACCAAGGCACAAAGTAAGAGGCAGATTAACCCCCTGCCAGACATATGTGTCAATGTTGTCCTGAGGCCTACAAACATCCAGGGGGCTTCTGTGAGGAAAAAACTTTCAGAGAACCTCTGGTTACCAGGAGAAGAGGAAGAAAGCAGGAGGGAAAAGCAGAACAGTATAAGGCATTGACCCCGAGGGCAGATGCCCCAGAAAGGAGAGGAAATGCTCTTCCCTCCTCCCTTCCTCCAGCTGTCCCCCAATATCTCAGCTGCATACACTATCCTCACAGCAAATGGGCTGACCTGGGTCAGTCTGTAGGTTCCTTTGTGTTATTCAGTAGAACTGACCTGGCCATAAATGCCCTTCAAAATCACCCAGCATCATCTAAAACCATCTAGGATATGCCCTGTACAACTCCAGGGGGCCCCCTATGGTGACCAAGGTCCAGGCCTGAGACAGCACTTACTGCCTGCCCTTAGACGCTTTCTTCTTCTCTCAAGCAGCCCTGACAGTGGGGAATGACCTGCTCCTGGGCCCAGAGTCCCAACACAGCAGCACGTGTCCACCATGACAGTCCTTCGCCAAGCATGGCCCTCCTGCTCCTTGAACCAAAGCGTCCTCCTCGCCCTTGCCAAGGGCTGTGCCACAAAAACCACCACCAAAGAAAAATCCTTGCCAAGAAACCTACCACCATGACAGACAGCTTTCATTTTCTTCTTTCTACTTCTAATGCCCACAGTGGCCATGAATAATGTTTATAACAACCTAAAAAAATTTTAAAGGAATTGCATCATAGAAATGTTGTGGTATCACAACTGACATGGTCACCATCATCATCACCACTTCAGTTACAAAAATGTTGTGGACAAAAGATGGGGGTTTTGAATATACACACTAAGTTTTGCTACTTCTAAATACAAATTAGTAGAAACAATTTTTAAGAAGACATAACATTGGGCTGAAGAGAAAAGAGACACCACCAGTAAAATTTTGGGGTCTGGAAAGCAGACTTGTGACAGGCAAGTTTCAAAGAGCACATGAAAACTGATTTATAAGAGAGTCCTTAATGACACTTGACATGATAGCACCAGGTACTTTCTGGACCAAGGGTGAAGAGGATGCATGTGTGAAAACAAAGTGGACTGAGTGAAAGAAAGAAAACCCCTAGATCCACCTCCCCTAGAAATCTGAAGGTTTATTCTCTGGAGAACACAAAACAGAGGATCTTTGCACAGAGATTTGACTAGCACAATTGAGAGCCAAAATAACATGGAGATGAAGGTTAAATGCTGATAGTGAGTTCCCCCAGCTATTCCCCCACTAGGCTTCTAGAACACTGGCAAGCAGACACTTACCTTCCTCTCTAGAGAATCTAACAGTCCACAAGGAAGGAACTTAGGGTTTAGATACTGACATCAGAACCCAAATGGTGTCCAAATGGCTTGTTAAGGTCAACGAGTGTGGATCTACAAGTCAACAAACCCAACCATCATGCTCAGAGCATCCAAGCAGCTTTTTAGTCCCCTGTTCTTAATCCTGAAACGACAACCAGGAACCACTGGCCATGTGAAGGGAGCTTCTAACTTGGAAGAGAGAGACCAGAACAAACAACCCAAAACAAGAACAAAACAAAACACAACTTGGAAGAAACAGACTTCATTCATGGAGAAGATGCTACATTCATGAAACAAGAATGTGATGCTACTAAAAAAGAACACTAAGAGACTAAACTCCTAGGAATAAAAATCTTACTAGTAGATGGCACAAAAATAGACACACAGAGAGCCCAGAAATAAACCCACATTTATATTGTCTATTAATATATGACAAAGGAGGCAAAAATACAAACAGGGAAAAGACAGTGTCTTCAATAAATGGTGTTGGGAAAACTGGACAGCTACATGCAAATTAATGAACCCGTCTTCTACCACACACAGAAATAAACTGGAATGGATTAAAGACCCAAATGTAAGACCTGAAGCCAAAAAACCCCTAAAAGAAAAGAGCTGTAAACTCTTGGACATCCACATTAACAATTTTATTCTGGCTGTTCTCCCCAGGCAACAGAAAGAAAAGCAAAAATAATCAAATGGGACTACATCAAACTGAAAAGCTTCTGCTCAGTGAAGGAAACCATCAACAGAATGAAAAGGCAACCTACTGAATGGGAAAATAAATTTGCAAATTTCGTATTTGTTAAGGGGCTAATATCCAAAATATATCAATAGTTCATACAACTCAATACCCAAAAAACAAATAACCTGCTTAAAAAATGGCCAAAGGACTTGAATATTTTTCCAAAGTAGACATACAGATGGCCAACAGACACATGAAAAGATGCTTACCATTACTAATTGTGAGGGAAATGCAAATCAAAACCACAATGAGATATCATCTCATACCAGTCAGAATGGCTAATATAAAAAAGACAAGAAACAACAAGTATAGGCGAAGATGAGGAGAAATGGAACCCTCATGCATTATTGCAGCAAATATAAATTGGTGCATCCACTGTGGAAAACAATATGGAGGTTCCTCAAAAAACTAAAAATAGAAATACCATACAACCCAGTAATTACACTTTTGGGTATTTATCTGAAGAAAACAAAACACTAAATCGAAAACATATATTCTCCCTCGTATTTACTGCAGCATGATTTGCAAGAGCCAAGATATGGAAGTAATCTAAGTGTCCATCAACAAATGAATGGATAAAGAAGAGATGGTACATATATACAATGGAATATTACTCGGCCATAAAAAACAAACTCTTGCCATTTTTGACAACATGGATAGACCTGGGCTATTATGTCAAGTGAAATAAGGCAGACAGAGAAAGGCAAATACCATATTTCACTTACATGTGGAATCTAAAAATATCAAACAAACAAAATAGAAATAGACTCATTAATACAGAGAACAAGTGG